ACACTTACGACGAGCATCGATCTAGTTATCGAATGTTGCAAGTATTGTGTTAAAACGGAGTTCTGATTGACTCCGTTTACCCCGTGACCTCCGGGTTTGACTGCATCTTTGGCTAGCTTCCCGCGTCCGGCACTGGCTTTTCTTGTGCCCACGTCGAATGCACACTGAAAATTTGTGCTTTTTATACGAACACAATCACACAAAATGCCATTCGCCGCATTGCCAGCGTGCTGAAGAAGGGTTTGCTTTATTCGACTTTGTCATCACAGGAGGTTGCTTTGATGTCGTCTTGGCGATGTTGAAAGCAGGGTTGGATAAGGGCTTCTGCAACATGGCCGTGTCGAGCTTAAGATTTAAAAGGCGCTGGCACTCATGGGTAATTGACTGCAGTGTTATCTCGGGAGTTTGTTCAAACTTGATCAATAGTCTCGCCTGATATAACGGTCTGAATGTGACTGAAGACCACATATGAAAATAAGACATTTGAACTCATCTTCCGTCATGGTAGATAACTTGAATTGTTCGCTTCAAGGTTGACTCTACCGGCATAAGTGATGTGGTTTTCAGATTCCGTTTTCACCAGTTTCATACATTGGTAGCGAATATTAAACAATGACGAAGGCTCACCAAAAACCGTTGAAAGTTGCTGCACGGTTTTGTCAAAACTGAGATCCCGCGTGTTCTCAGGCAGGATTAAGTTGGAATACCGTGTGCGTTCCGTTGTGCCAAGCTTTCTGAGCAATAATCGTACTCTCCAGGCGTCATAAGTTTGCTTCAGTTCGACTTGAAAAAACTCTTCGTAACGTCTGAACCATGAATCGAAGATTAGGTCGGCGTCAGGGTCATAACGGAATTCAGTGATGCTGTTGGCAATCGGGTCGACTTAATGTGTATCTGGAGTGGAATTTGGTGGTTGGATTTTAAGTTGCTGCGTCAATGTTTCCACCAAACGTAATTGTGCCGCTTCAAACTGGTTTTGTTGTTTCAGGAGAATTTCTTTCAACGCATCAGTGGTTATTGTGAGGATTCTGTGGGTTCCGGCGTCACCAATTTGTTATATTTGCTCATTCGTCAATCTGTGATATCTGGTCAATCTGTGGTATCTGCTGCTGACCCGCTCCAGTGCCTAGTGTCGGAGAGAAAAGACTCACAGAAGGGAACACAACAAATGTATTCCGAACGAGCGAGTGAGTGAGAGAGCAAAAGTTACAATGGTCCCACGCTATTTAAAGGGGACTTTCTGACATTGATCCAGGCTGTCTGATAGGCGTTAGTGAAGACCCATCAACATCGATCGTGGTTCTGTGAAAAGCTTGAACGCTGATCACATTCGGTCGTGCTTCTGTGGCGCGCAAGAACGCTCATCAGGTTTTGCCCAATTGATTGAATAATTGACTATCCTGGATGTTTGCCGGCTTTCCAGTTGAGTTTTTGGTGGAGCAGTAGGTTCCGGGCGTTTTGAAGTTGCTTTCGGGTATCTGACCTTTATGGTAATATCCCTTATAATTCAAGAACAATCATTGGAGTTTGCGGAAACCTGAACGCAAAACCTGAACGCACTGCAGTGTTTGTATTAGCTCTGACGGAATTATCTGATGTAGTCAGTGCAAGAATCTCAAAAGCTCGAAGCACTTTCGCTATTATGCGTCACTTGTAGCGTCAAAATTGCATCTCACTAAATCTTAAGGGCCGTGTGTACTAGGCTTCATTAAGGGCTGTGTTGTTGCATGGTTGCGAAACATGGCCCGTGTGGGTAAATAATGTGAGGCTTCTTCAGGTTTTCGACTCCCACTGGCTCAAAAGCGTGGATGGTTTTGGATGGCCTCAGCGTGCCAGTAACGGGGCGATTAGAAAACGGGTATTTATTTGTGCTTCAGGAACCCCAATCCGGGAGAACATCCAGCATCATTGACTATGATGGCTCGGTCATGTGCTAGGCATGCCGAAATACCGTCTACTGAGAGGAGTATTGTTCTCCGTGCCTCATTCAGGATAGCGCAAACCGGGAAGTAGGCAGCACATGACTTGGCAGAAAGGCGTCAAAGAGATCACGAAAAGGTTGGGTGTTGTTGGTGTTGTGCAACTTCCAGGATGGGGT